GGCGAACTATCGTCTGTACAGTATGTAAATTAGGTACCGNAGTGGGGTCTCCCCCCTTTTCTCGGTGCGGACTTACTTTTTTCTGCTCGGGAAGCGCAAGTGTGCGCGAGTTTTTCTACGGCGNTAGGTATTGTATATATAATTATATTAACTTAAATTATTGTAACTTTATTATAATTATATATATATTTTCCGCCGCCTGGCGCCAGGCTACGGAGAGTTTAGGCGAACTATCGTCTGTACAGTATGTAAATTAGGTACCGTAAGTCTAATACAGCACTAATTTTATATATTTCTTGTGAAAGAAACATTTCTTATTCAACGGACATAAAAATTATTTATATTAACGATGTCTCCATAGTTCGACGAAGTTTTCGCAGAAAAATAACATCAGAAATCGCGGCCGCAGTTTGCTGAGCTGTTCCGCGACAAAAACAAGCTTGAGCAACGGCGACGTCGAACGGTGCACACTCGGTAAGTAATCCTACAATTTTTTGTTTATAGCGTAGTTTATACGGATTATTTCCAAAAAAAGTATACGTATTTTGGAAATGTTGAGTCAGATTAGTCTAGAATCGAATAATTTTATGGAAGAAAACCTTTCAAACAGCCGTAGTCCGTAAACTTGGCACATGTCGGGCTGTGATTGGAAGGACTCGTAAGAAATCGGATTCCTAAAGAATGGAACGTATCTACTGTCTTATAGGGGGGTCGACTGTATTAATAATGTATTTTTTCATATTTTTCGGTTATCCGTTTTTTCAGTTGTCCGACCAACCCCAGTCCCCAATTGAGTCGGATAATCGATGCTCAACTGTAATTTTTTAAAACTTTCTGCTCTGTGGGCACTAAGATGGCGTCTATTAGCAAGCCCGTTATGGGCTCGGCCGGGCGGTGAGAGACGGAAGCCGACGTATCCGGTCGGATCATCCCAAAAAATTCCTGGGGATTTTTCAACTCGTTCGGATTCGATTTCGGGTGCCTCAGAGCGGTTTTGTTTGTTAAGTTATGGCAACGCAACACTAGGGCAATGTGCCTAGGAAATGCCTTCCGGGGCTTTTTTTAAGTGAAACTGACTCCTATTTAGGCGTTACAGATGTGGAGAAAACCCGGAAAGATGCCGTGGGTTCACGCCTCGCTCGGAAGGGAGAGACGCGGTACGAAGACCGCTTGTGCCACCAGTGTTCGGGGTACGAAGACCGCTTGGCCACTGGTGGGTTCCCCCAGAGCGGTAGACTGCCACCTTAACTGCTCGGCTACCCGGCCGTCAAATTTTAATCATGGATTCGAACAGTGTTTTCTTTTTTTGACGTGAATAAGTCTTTAAATTTGCTTCCGTAGTGGGAGGCAATTCAGAGAACTGATGATAACAAAATCGAGGGATACAGTTTGGCATTGCAGCTACATATCTATCATCTACATCCAAAATTTAATTACACCACTCGATAGTTAAAGGATCGAAGAATTCATTACGTTGAGTGGGGACTGTGACGCATCGCGCGCGGCGGAGGGGGACGCGCCGCGACACATACTTTTCGTTTAGTATACAAAAATTTTAAAAATTAATACAATGTCGGCCTATACTCGTCGAAAAGCCAAATGAAAATACAGAAATCGTATACAGTTGGATAGGGCTTCTCGAGAGCAATCCAATGATACCCAAAAAACACCATACGATAGAGTGAAGCGATGCCGGAAACGTAAAGAAATGAAGGCGTCCGAGCGGATCAACGACGGCGCAAGTACATCTGCCGCTGGAGTGGCCGAGTCTATGCAAGCGGTTGATGTAATCGCTTCTGTATCAACGCCGGGCAGTACAGACATCGGTTGTGTGCGAACGCCGATTATGAAGACACATTGGGCAGCAGCTAGTGCACGTTTCACTTTTACCTTTGTCAACAATCCATTCGGACATAAGTGTGACGTGTGTGACCGTATATGGTTTCTGCGCTCGTTGAATCCACCAAAGGAAAAACACTTAACGCTGCTTAGTAATACTGTAAGGTCTCTTTTTTATGCAAATTATTTTTATGCGATTTTGAAGTTGTGCGGTTTGTATTTCATCCAAAAATTTCTTGGACAAACATACATGTAGGCTTGTTTAGGAAGCCCGCGTATATACAGTCTCCAAAAATCGTGGAACGCTCAAAGCTCACTCCATTTGTTCCACTGACATATAACGTTTATGGATGTAAAGGACAGTTAGATCTACCTTAATCGCTGTAGTTCCTAGCAATTTGTAATATAAATGTAATTAAACATAAAAAATACTTAAAACTGAAAAAAAACGAAAGAAATGCGTTAATTTTGAAGAAAAAGCTTCAAAGTTTAACTTCCTTTGTCTCGCCCTTCTGTGAAATTTAACACCGATGAGTCATTGTTTACACATCTGGATGACCTTGAACACAGCTGGAGTTGGATTTCCCGGGGCATTCTCATAGACGTCGCGGGAGGACAAGGGTTTAAAGTAGGGTGAACACTAGCTGGCCGTATATTTTTAAATATTTTTAAAAAATTTGGAGACTTAAAAAACATTCCAAAAATTCAAAAAAAAAATTTAAAAATGGCCTTAAGGACCGTGTTTTATGTAACGCTATGTAACCTGCCCGAGTTAACTCGGGCGAGGAACTAAAGGGGTTTTAATTAACTCTTCACATCCAGATGTCAGTGATTTGTTTTTAGAGTGAGCTTTTGCAATTCGGGGATTCCCCTTGTACATGATACCATCGACAAGTCGCTATTACATCATTCTGAGTTTCGCATTGAAAGGTATAAACTGTAATTGTTTTGAAATTAAATTTTATATGAATTTCTTTCAGACATTCGAAGTAATTTATTAAGCAGCCTATTTCTTTTAATTTCTGCAAACTTTTTTATGCGGTTTTAAGTTAATTTTAACTCGTTGTTTTGGTTTTATGCGATTTTAGAAAATTACGGAACGTATCCCTACTTTTTCAAGGCAAGTAAAGTCTTTTTTTATGCGAATTTTTTATATGCGCTTTTCTGTAGAACGTATCCACCGCATAAAACGAGACCTTACAGTACTTTCCGGGAGAAGGCAGTGGCTGACTTTAATTGAACTGTACGGTACGTGTAGAAAATCACTGGACTCGGACAAAGTGCTCACATTGTCACGTTCGAACGGAATTGTGTATCAACCTAAGCAACACGGGTTGCCCGCATTAGACCGATCAGTGCACGTCTAGTATTGCAGATTACACGTGGCTTAGCTTTGAGTCGACATCGCTGGCCCATCTCGAGCGGGAATTCGATCCATAGTCTGAGTCGCTGTTTGGAAGTGGGCACAGATGTTGACGGTTCGTTCTGTGCCTGTAACGTCGCAAAGTACTCGTTTTCACTGATATAATACGCTGGAAGAAAATATTACCCGTTAACGTACACATATTCACGTAAAACCCACGGCCATGTCCCCGGCGCAGCCACATAATAACTTAATATATTTTCTGTTGGAAATACAAGCAATAAAACCATTCAAAATTTTTATTACATTATATTAGCAATTTATACAAACAATTTTATTATTGTCTGTTCGATCTCAGAATACCCGTGATTAAGATTTCCGTAATATGATTGACAGAAACGCATAATTTAAATCTAGAATGTGCCACTTGTTGAATGAATTATTATTATAATTATTATTTTTGACTATAATAGGGTATTATAATTAAATAAGCAGAAGTATACATGTTACAGCTAAAGCTCAAAAGTCGTTAATGTGTACATTACCTAGCTAATCTTCAGATTAACTAAAGTGATCCGTTAAAGTTGTGAAAATTGTTCCATTTCTCAAATTACCTAGATAATGCGCAGAGTATCTAGGTAATCCGCACATTACCTACTAGGCACTCGGTAAAGTGAAAATAAGATCTTTGCCACAAATAAATGTGCCACAAATAAATGTGCCACAAATAAATGTACCACAAATAGGTGTGTTTGTCGCAGAAACCAATTGCTATGGAATTCAAAGTGTCACCAATCTTTAGACTGCACAATTAAATAATGTTACCTATGATGGGTAAAATGGCGGCTCGTCTCTGATTCCAGCAAAGAGAAGAAAGGAAACAGCAGGGTCGCACGTTCAAACCTAACCTAACCTATTCTAATAAATTACCATAATTATTACCAACCAAATTATTAGGATAGGTTAGGTTCGGTTTGAACGTGCGACCCTGCTGTTTCCTTTCTTCTCTTTGCTGGAATCAGAGACGAGCCGCCATTTTACTCACCATAGGTAACGTTAACTGCACAATTATATCACGCGATCGCCAGAAAAAGTATGATAACTTTATTATTTTTCGTCTCCGGTCCAAAAGTAGGGTATCGTCGAAGTCGTCTCGGTCCCCTCAGTTCATATAGATACTGAAAGTCCCGAAATTCCATAGGTGGTTATCTATATAATAATTTTCCTAATTGTATTAATATTTTAAACCGTTTGATTATTTGTATGTTTTTTAATTGATTGATGATTGATTCTATCAACTAATTTGTCGATTGTTTGATTGTATTAACTCGATTCTTTAGATATCGAAAATGAAATAAAGAACATTATGTGAATTTAAGCGTACAGAAACATTGCTGTTGTTGCAGCAAAGATCTTATTTTCACTTTACCGAGTGCCTAGTAGGTAATCTGCACATTACCTAGGTAATTTGAGAAATGGAACAGTTTTCGCAACTTTAACGGATCACCCTAGTTAATCTGCAGATTAGCTAGGTAATGTACACATTAACGACTTTCGAGCTTTAGCGGTAACACATATAAGGCACTTCCGCTCTCGATGGCATTTCTTCGACGTGTCATTAAAACTTAAGATTTATAAAATTATTTCAGTATTAATTTTATTCAAATTAAATGTTTCTGGCTAAACTGTATTTCATTTTAGAAATTACATATAAGTAACGCTAATTTAAAAAAATAATAAATAAATAAATAAAAACGATCAACTAAAATAAGCAGGGAGCGCTATTGGTGATAATTTCATTCAGATGTCGCTACTCCACGTGTTCGTTAATGGGTAATTACTTTTAACGTTATGTTTGTATTAAATATTTAAACGAACGACACTTACAGCTTATTATTACATCTGGCTATAGAAACTCTCATTACCGAAGACATTTAACTTACATTTAGAGAAATGTTTCGAATTTTCCCATTATCTCCTGAAAGAGAATTTCAAAGCACGAAAGATTCAGGAACCATCATACTCGGAGGTCCACTTACTGCCAAAACTTCATTATTATTCCAAGCAGCTTTGAGTTTATCGGCACAAGGAAAGAGAGTTGTCTTCATTCGTCCAAATAAATTCGTTAACCTTCCGAACTGTGTTAAAAATATGACCAAACCAACTCACACTACTATGAAACTTATTAAATTTTTATATTTGAACAGTTCTGATCTTGTAAAATATTTATCAGAAGTTCATCTTTCCTCTTCCACTTTTGATGCTATTTTGGTTGACGACATGCAATGCTATGTTCAAGCTAATGATGATAATTTAGAACATGCTCTAGCTAAATTGCTAGCACTCTTTAAGGATACTGTAAGTTATTTATCCTTAAAAACTAACGAAACTTGCATATTTATGTCTACGGTTACCGAAAACAATCGTCAGTCCATTTACGCTCGCATTGGCCAAATATTCTTCCATCTCTGGCAGATAAATACCTGCAATGAGTTTTTTAGCATCATCTCTTATCCCGATACTAAATTAAAAATTTATTATGAAGTCAAAGATGAGATTTCCTTGAAGGAAGTCAAGAGGAACTCAGAAAATTAAAAATATTGTTAATCACTGTATTTATTTTAAAACATTCAGTTTAATTTTCTGAAATATTTTATATCTCAGAGAAGATCTAATTAATAAAAAATTAACCATAATTGATTTTATTTTCTTGACATTGCTTTAAAGTCATAAATATGGTCTTTTATGTTAAGATCAATAATTGTGATTGATACTCAAGTATCAATCACAATTATTGATCTTAATATTAAATCATGAACAATTACTTCTGGACGGTTTAAACATAAACAATTATTTAAATAAATCATTAACTGTTAAAGAATGGTAAATCGGATCCATATTAATATTTCGAGGACAGTGACATTAAAGAAACTCCTGTCAGATTGTGTGACAAATCTCACACTTACAGAGATATATTAACAAGTTTAATACATGACAGATTGGCATTGAAAGAACATCAAGTAATTTTATATATAATAATTTGTACAATTAATGTAGGATTTATTAAAATTATATCAATAATGTAATAAGATCAATAGATTGCAACTTACATTTCCATCTTCCAAGAGCTAACCAACAATAAACCACTTAAAGTTGGGATTTTATTTAATCTGTTACATATTTATATCAATCTTGTAAGCCCTCCCTCTTACGGGATTATAGATTTACAAATTTTTAATTTTTATAGCTTTATTAGTATCAGTGGCTGTCAACCTTGAATTAGTAACATGCCAATGAGCCAATCAAGGAGGATCTTATGTGTATAAATGAAGTGATGTTGAAGAGAAACAAGCAGCATCGGATCGCTCGTGAGTCGCTGCTGCATATTTAATCCAGTAACCAAAGAGGAACGACACCTTGTAGTATATTTATGAAGAATTAAATAAAAATTCCAAGATAGGTTGCCGGTTTATGTGAAGGTATCAGTTGTTCTTGTTATGTTAGTGAGGTATCATCTTGATAATTAATATAAAATTTTAAAGATAAATTACATATAAGTATACATTTTCAATATACATTGTTTCAAAGTTTCTTAAAATTGAATTTCACATTTTCATGTAATTGAGTTGTAAAAATCTGCATCTTGATCTCATCAAATTCAATAGAAAATGGATTGGACATGGATTTGCTACGGTCTGGTCTTGTCTAAATCCAGATTTTAGCATGTGGTAATTTGTAGTATTGTGAATGGGAATATTTTTCAAAACTCTTTACAATGGTTGATGTAAAAACAACTATTGGAGACCACTTCAACTTCCAACTGTTGATGTGGAAGATGTTCACACGAAGAAAAGTTTAAAATTTATGCAGAGAATGAAAAGCTAGCCAACGGTGAATTGTAGAAAGTCCTTGTATACGTTATTTAAGTTATCTATTACGTAATGTGCATAAGGATTTTGTGGTTTATATAAATACAAATACGCTCTGTACAAGTTATTAAAATCTGTAACTTCAAAAAGCTTTTTTCATTTTAAACACGACTATTTATTATATAATTTAATAGTATGATGCTTAACAATTATACTTAAAATAAATAAGATGAAATGTCTGTTTCAACTTCCAGTTTTCTCATTCTACAGACAGAATTATTTTCTAAATAGATACATTTCAAACAAGGAAAAGCAGTCAGAAGTCATCACTTGACATAATAATTGCCATTTTCTTGTAATTACAATCACTAGTAATAGTTGTTTCCTTCGAAAGAAATCAAGCAAATTATCAGATAGCAAATTTTCTTAAAATGAAAGAAGTTTGTATTTTGATAACATAATAATTTATAACTAGCACGAGCAATATAAACTATAACCCGAGAATAACGCGAACGACCTCGTTCAATTTTTTTCATCGAGCGAAGGATTCACAACTCGAGCCACAGAGCAGTCCATTATTTTCTTATTTACGTTATACGCTTTGACCTTACACCCTACTAGGATGACATACGGCCGAAAGCATAAATAAGAGATAACAGAAAGATCCGTACGGCTCGAGTCGATCTTTCGGTACAACGATTGATAAAAACGGGTGATCGGACGGCCCAAATTTTCAAAGACCATTTCCGTTTTAATAATTGATTATAGAATTGACCTTTGAATAGTCATTTTATTAACACATCAATATAATATCACCAATTTATAGGTCAATAAAATAATTTTAAAAATAACCGAAACCAATCAGTTTTAGTCCCCTCTTTTCACTAATTTTGGAATGTCTCCAATCAAGTTTCGGACACGCATAAAATTCAAATACGAAAACGATTGCCAGTGGCAATGAATAGACGGTCGGCGACCGGCTGCCACGACACTGCGGTTGGAGGCGGACTTATTCTACGCCGACGAGTCTCTCCGTCGAGTGCTTTCCATCCATTCTCCACCGACCGTCGTACAATACGTATCTTTATCTCCATTACGTATTATTCTGCATTCAACGTCGACTAATACACTTCTTCCCACATTTGCCCGCAGTTCTACACGCGTTCACGTCGTCCGTCTTTAAGTTTCGGACACGTTCACGGTCTACCTAGATAAAACCAAACAGGTCATTGGCCATTCACATTATTACCAATTTAATAATTAATAATGCTCATAAAACAATAGAAAATGGTCATTTTTGATCCCAATAACAAATCAGATCTGTGCAAATTTAAAATCAGTTGGATAAGAGTGCTCATTGATCAAATGTACTCGTCTCGCAACGTCATCCTCGCAACGAATCGAACATCCTTCGACTAAACATTCGTAGAGAAAGTTCTGTTTACCAACACGAAGTCGAAAGAAAGAATCGTGATTTTCTTGTATGTGAAGCGTCAAGAGACGATTTGTAGGGAAATTCCTCTTGCATAATCGGCAAACATTCTGATGAAACTGCGCATAATGCGCTTCAAACATGAATTTATTAACCGAAACGGCTCGACAATTATCTTCTTGGCAGACATACTCGTCCATATTTTTTTCGTAAACTTCGCCATCAAACGCGTGAATTCTGTCGATACGAGGACAAATTCGATCCCCTTCTGCGAAGAACTCATCGTTAGGGAGTCGATGTCTTTTAACCAATCGATAATTATTCATTCTGTCGCTTCGTAAGCGAAAAATCACTTCGTTCCGTACTGAAATTTACAAGAAACCGTCCACGTGTGCACACGATAAGTTACCTAGCTGCCCCCTGCCGGACGAAATTGTAAATTAAATTAGAATCATCTAGCGAGAAGAAATGTTAAAATTCTTGCACTGCAATAAAAAATGGTGGAGATGTCGAATTATTCTTGGTCAGAGATTATTTTTGAAAAATTATTGCATAAGAAGGTTTATTTGTACGTCCGATGGCGTTCAAAAATCTAACGAAGACAGGTAGGTAAGTTTAAAAGACTGTATATTATAAAATCTGATTGTAAATCTTGAATTAAATCTTCCTTTATTTTCTTATGTAAATGATTCATTTATTATTATTATTATTGTTTATTGATTTAAATTTAAATTTCTTACAATGGGGACAAATTAAATAATAATATAAACATTCAAATCATTTTTTATTATTGTAATTGATAAATATATATATTTTTTATTATTTACTCGTATGCCTCATTAAAAAATGGTGCAGCATCCTCTGATAAGATTTTCTAAATTATGAGACAACGTTGGTGTGTTACCAATTATTGTATAAAATTCCTGTATATGTCACTTCTAAATTATCTTCATTCTCTGTACTAATTTAAAATTGTTCACATTCTGGCAGCATCTGTATTGATTGAAAGCAATCCTGGTAGCTAATATGACTCTTATGAGGTATCCTAACTCTGAGACCTATATTGGTTATCGGGATTGATAGCTAATACGGGACTAGGATTCTAGGCTGGCGGGATACCTCGTGTTCTGGACGAATGAAAGAATCCCGATATAGGTAAATTAAAAGATTATGTAACGAGTTTTGATTACATCCCGCACGATACGCTTGTTTAAATTGATGCCGCGTGACGTCGACGTCGAACTTTGGCCTTGTCTAATGGCGCGTGCGGTGACCGTCGGGACGGTTTGTGTTAGCGACGACGTTATCGATCGAGCTTTGAGATGAGGATCTCCGTTCTCGTAGAGGGGTTGGTTGGAGATCCGAAATTGTATGGGGCGGGATACTGTGACGTATTCTTTAACGTATACTGTCGTTAAATGAGAAAGAAAATGTGTGTTAAAGCGATTGTTATTAGATTTATATCCAAATTTTATCCGTACAAAAGCGTCGTCGTCTATAGTAAGCAGCTCGCTATCGCTAATCCTTTGTGGGCGTTTCTCGTACTGAAAAAATTCTTGTCTGGATAACTTCACTCTTTCCTTCTGCTGTAAATTCTGCTCAATCTACCACTGTACACTGTCTAGTAAATGCACACTGATGGAATTCTGCCTATACCATTTGTCCACCCAAGTGAATTTATAATTACCTTTATAATTCTACTATATATATGGTGGTTGAATTGTATATACAGGTGCAGGGTAATTTAAAAATTGTGTTATAGCAAAAATGCGTAGATAAGGTTATTGTATGTCTGGTTTTAATCCAGACAGTCTTGTAATTGTGTCTGGAAATGAAAATACTCCAGGAATTTTTGTATGAGGAAGAGACAAAGGAAAAGTTTCATATGTTTATAATTAATTATTAGAATGTTATATGGCCGAAAACATTCAAAAATGGTCAATTAATTGCAAATAAAAACATATTTTATCGTTATTATTTCAGATTAAAACCCGTTAAGTTGGCATTCGATTCTTACCGGTTTACCAAAACGACCGTGCCGTCGTCTCCTGTCGTCATTTTGCACGGACTCTTGGGATCGAAAAGTAATTGGAGATCGTTATCCAAAGAAATTGCTAGGGTTACTGGAACAAAGGTAAATTATCTTTTTAGTATACCGATTTGCGAACGAATAATGTTAAACGAAACATTAACGCTATTCTATACTTAAAGATCTATGCCGTCGATGTACGAAATCATGGCGAAAGTCCACACAGCACCGAATTTGATTATCGACATATGGCCGAAGACCTGATACATTTTCTAAATGAAATGAACATTAAAAAATCACTACTAGTTGGACACAGTATGGGAGGAAGGATTTCTATGTTCGTCGCTTTAAGTAAGGTAAATTTTAATTTTTTCGTAAATGTTTCGTGTAATATATTGCAAATAATTTTAATTTGAAATTTTAAAAGTTTAGCCCGAACTTGTAGAAAGATTAGTTGTCGTGGATGTTTCGCCTATAAATGTACCTAGTGATTTTCATGCCGAAATTTTCCAATATTTGCAAGCTATGAAATTGTCGTTAAAACAACTTCCCGAAGGAGTTTCGCTTTCTGATGCAAGACAACTAATTAATAATTATCTTGTTCCGATTGTACCGGTAAGTTAAGCTTTCAAAAATGAAATTTTTAAAATTTATATTCAGAATTTCCATTGGAAATTGCAAGAATTACACAGATATTCCTTGTGTAGTTAGGGTGTTACAATCTTTAATTGTATCCTGTTAAACTAAATTAATGTTTATTCTAGCTTCTTCTGATGATGATGTTTCTTCATTCGTGTAACCTTACATTATTACCTCATATAAACTGCAATTTTTTATAACAAAGGCGAAACTGTGCTTTGTTAGATCTCTCAGATTTAAATTAATGGTTTTATTAGCACTTGGATAATCATGCCCACATTGGGAGACCAACTGTGATTTTACTCTTCTCTACAGATGATTTTGTTAGAATTCTGTTTATTCTCCAGATGATGATCTTGTTGCATGAAAATGTTAGAGAAACAATACCTCTGGGTTTCCCAACTTGTGTTCCCTAGAGTTTCGCCAATAAAATTTAGGGTTCCACAATAAAATCTGTTGAGTATAGTGATGTATGAATGTGCCAATGCAGATACAGAATGTGAGATATAACTGTTGTAATCTTGGATTGAGTCCTCTTACAATGTCTTATACACATGCTAGAGTTATTTATAACTTTATAAATGTGGGGACTGATTTATTGGTAATGAAATGAACAGAAATCATGATATTGAAAACCATAAAAAAGTAAGGTGAAACTTAATCTAAAGCTAGAAAATCATAAAAAAAACCTTAAAAAGTATTTAACATATAGATAATAATACATCATTAAATATGCTTTAATTCATCAATATCTGCAGCACAGACCTATTGAATCTAATGACAGAAGTTAATGTCCCATTATATGTAGTGTTTTGTGGCACAACGATACAGTATACAAACAGGCTTACCAAAGATTATTAGAGTTTTGCACTGCAATCAGTTTGTGATATTTTAAGTATTTTTCATATAAAATTATAGTGGGGATCGTATAAATTTATGGTGCTTTTAGTATTATGTATACCCCAAATTAAAAAAGCATGGAGCATTTGCCGATAGAAAAGTTTGAAGGAAAATCTAGCAAGTACTTCAAATGTTTCTAATGATAAGGAGACCAAAAAGTGGATTAGCTATTGTTGCTCACTCCTTTGACATAAATGAATTGACCACACATTAAGAAGACAGAGATGGGAAATGTGGCAGCATTGTCATCTTCCCAAGAAATAAAAATTGTGAAGATTGTTGAAGATCTAAACATGGAAAGAAATGAAAGAAACCTTAATCTTCTGGATAGAAGATTGGTCTCAGAATGTCTTTTTGAGTGGTTCTATTATCAAAGAGCTTATACGACAATAGTGGAAACTCTCGTGAATTAGCATGTACCGTAGTGGAGACAGCATAAACTAGTGACATCTAGCGGTTCGAGGAAAACTCTAACACCGCAGACCATGTAAAGTCTAACAAAACTTGCAAAAATGCAATGAAATAAATATTTTATCGTCTTTTTGTCTTTATTTTATTATCTTAAAACATGAATTATGATTTTATTTAGTAGGAAATGTGAATGGATAGTGATTTAAAGGAAGGAATAATAGCAACAAAACAAATTAAATGCAATAAGAGTAAGATTTTTAAAATTAAAATCTTAAGGTTTTAATATAATTTTATTAAATTGAAACAATTTTTTACATTAAATTAAAACACATTGAACACAAATATATCATGTATATCAAAACATGATATATGGCATTTTTACTTTTTTTTTTTTTTTTTTTTTTTTTTTTGAGGTTTTAGGTCCTTTACGGCATTTTTACATTGAAAGGTTCTAGTTTTTTTTTTAGGGGGCTGCTTCTCATCGCAATCTGTTTGGCATTATAAATTAATAGTGAGGGTACTTCGCCGGGCCAGATCCTGTAACATATGTAAAACAAGTTTTTAGTCAAGTACAGTGATAGGATACTAAATAAAATCTGCGTGTGGACAATTAGCGATAAGTTTGATATTAGATCGTAAACTTCTAATTCGGTGAGAGGAACAAAAAAATAGGTAAAGGACACCATTAATTTATATTAAGTGAACAAATAATAAACAATTTATATACCCTCGGCTTGAGAGATTTTTGTTTCTAAAATCTTTTTTCGTAAAATGGTCGGAACACGCGATATAATTTCTATTTAAATATTCTGGTCCTTTTGTTTTCAAAATCTCGTCTAAATATGTTTTTCCACTCTTAATAATCCACCAAGTGCATCTGAAAATTAATATAAACACATACGTTGAATGATAACAATATTTTAAATCAGGAATGTTGATATAAATGAAAAGAATCAAATTGCTTATTAATTTACTTACAGTTGTTTGTTTTTAGGGAGTCTGTAAAACAACTTGCAATCACTTTATATCTTGTAATTAAAACAGCCATATATAGTGCAAATAATACCTCTTCCAGCCATTCTAATTATTGAGAGATATAATAAGTTCAAAACTTTAAATTAATACCCGAAATGTCTCCTTATACATGTGGTACAAATGGAGGAGTGAAGTGTAGTTATTTCCTCGAACCACTAGATCAGTGTTTCTCAACCTCTAACGAATCGTCGCCCCCTTCAACGTAGTATCGCCCCCTTCAATAAAACTGTTACATAGTATCGCCCCCTTTACTTATAAATTCCCATGCCGAGGGCCAAGACTAACGCCAAATTCGTACTGCATTGAATAGACTAGTGACTAGTATAATGTTATTTGTTTAATTATTGTACAATATAACGAATAAAATATATAGTTATTCTTAATATAATGTTTTACTATATCGCCCCCCAAAATATAAATTGTTATTAATCGCCCCCTCAACATGGAAAAACGCCCACATGGGGGCGATATTGCCCCCGTTGAGAAACACTGCACTAGATGGTGGGTAGAAGCTTGTCACCAGTTTCCACTATTGTCGTAATAAACTATTTGCTATTATCCATGTAAAAAGAATCTTTCTTTTTTACATGGATTATAGAACCACTATGTTTAAATTCATACAATGGTTTCAAAAAGTTAAAGAAAGAAATGCTGTGTATAATATAGAACAACCTTCTTAATTCAAAATCCCGTTAGTTTGTAATTGTCCCGGCCAGGAATATAGAGATTCCAGGTGTTAAGGAATTTGGTTAGTTCAAAATATGACTACTTTGAAATTCAAAGTGAAAATTCTGCCCAAATTGTGTGACACACACATACTTCAATCTAAACAAAAGTGTTAATGTATCTCCATACTATAAGAGAACAATAGACCAAGAACAATTCTAATCTAGTCAACATGGCTTTGCTTTTATAGTAATACATTTTTTGTGTCACCTTAACTGTGGACTATCCTTTTTTCTCTTATATCATAAAATATGGTTGGGTTTTGGGATTGCAAGACTAAAGTAAAAGATTGAGATATTTGTAGGGCTCTAGGCTACTAGATTTGGACAACTAACTACTTTTTGGGTTACTTTAAAAAATAATTTGGGCTACATTGCAAGGAATTTTGCTTTACTTTTTATAAAACCTGTCTTGCAACCTGTGAGGTTTTCACTGGACATGTGCTGTTTACTTGCAGGTTTTTATATTATTATTATTAATTAATGAAAATAGTATTCCATTTGCTTAATAGGTTATGATAAATGCCATGTAACTGATGTATTCTACAGAAATATGTAAATCTCAGATAATTCAAAGTTGTGATTATTTTGACCCTTGAATTTTGAACTAACAAGGATTTCCTGTATAAAGAAAGATTTAGGCCAGGAGTCTGAAATTTAAGAGAGGAATTAAAGAATATAGATTGATTTAATAAGAATAGTTGTATGACTTATATAGAGAGGCAAAATTAATGAAAATTTCAAATTTCTTACCTTCACTGATAAAAAAAATTGTGCATTCAGATAAATTTGTAAAGTACTATATTATTTTTCCGACTTTCCAACGATTATCGACACTACTGTGTGCCGGAAATAGCCGTTCCCTAACGGGTACTTTACGCGGATTCGCGTTAGTGTGCCAGGCCTGGACTTTAAGCGTGCACCAAATTAAATAATGACAAAGTTTGTCAATAACAAAATCAAATATTTAATTAAACTTCTATAATAAACTTATACAGTATTTAGTAAAAATCAAACAATAATTTATTCAATGAAATTCAACAAGAATCAATCCGACAAACTCAAATCAATCTATTTCTAACTTAATTCTATTCCCCTTTGGAATTCGACAAAATCAAAGAATTAACTTATAAACAATAATTCTTATAAATTAAAGATCCTAATCGTCACCTCAATATACTAGGAACCTATTTCCTCAACTCTCAAGACTTTCTATAATCGTCAATCCACAAATCGAATAACTTCAAAATCCTATTGGACACCTCTCTCGTTCACTGCTACGGAGCTCACCAAAGCTCGTTGCTATCAGGAATTCACCTCGTTCGTTTTCACTTGAGTTAGAGGCTTTATAGTGTGAGGTGACGTCACAATTCTGAATGAGATCACTCTCCTCATTTACATACTTATCTGTAACATTAAATTTTTCTTGTTTATCTGGCAGATCATTTTCCGACAATACTTCGCTAACCTTTTACATTATTCTTTAACAATTATCGGGATGCTTTATTCTTTTAAGGTTTAGCGATTCCTAACTGGGTTGTGGGGTCCCCCCCCTTTTCGTCGGTGCGGACTTACTTTTTTCTGCTCGGGAAGCGCAAGTGTGCGCGAGTTTTTCTGCGGCGCTTTTCTTTCGTCGGTGAGTTGGTTTTTCTTCTATTTTTAAGTTACTAAGGTGAATGGTGAGGAAACCTTCGTCTTAACTAAACATAAGCCCCAAACAAAATATAATGAAAGCAAAATAAAAGTAAAATAAAAATAAAGCTCAGACTTGGTTCCTTACAAATTATCCAATTACTTCAAAAGTTGGCATACAGACAGTTATGATAATGCTTATAGTTGTGGTCTGATGTCACCAGTGCCTTAAAATTTCCAATCCAATATATTAGAAAAAGCTGGCTCTTGGAG